AACTAGGAGAACCAGAAAGATTGCGAAGGCTCATTTTGGCATTGGTGCCAAAAATGTAAACTCTCCTTAAGCCGTCTGCTTATTAAGTGAGCCAGGGGAAAAACACCAGATGCAGCAAGCAGAATTTTGGGTAACAAAATAAGCTCAATCAGTAAAAACAGGTCTTAAAAATTTTAATCCTTTCCCCCCCTGCAAAAGATTTTTTTTATTATAATCGGAGTGAAAATTTAGAGATTAGTATTCCATTTAAACCATTTACACACACTCACACATTACACCTCATTCTTTTCACACTCTGTGCTGCCTGTTTCAATTCATCTTTCCCACTCTTTGAATTTTATCATTGGATAAATGTTCCCCTTGTGATTCTGTGTGGCTGAGTAGTCTAAGAATGAAGTATCTCTTGATTCACCTTGTAGATGTATTTCTATTGTTTAGCTGAACATTTTGCCAAAGGGTAGCTAAAATTCTCAGGGATTCAACTAATCTCCACTGGGCCAGAAACCTGGCCATTTGATTGTGGGTTTTGTCCCACAGTTATCTTTTATTTGCCACTTTATTTAGGGCTGTCTCTATTGTGATCTTGTTCAGAGTGGATAGAAGTGGTAATCAAGTATCGTCTCATTCTGTTCCATTGGTGCTATGGACAATTCTATCCATGCACCTTTCATTTTCTTCACACTTTTCTCCAGACAGGGAAATAGAGACCAATGGGTGCATTTTAGATGGCTTTTACTTTAATCTTGAACTTTAGAGGTACTATACACTGGTGGCCTAGTGACAAGAAGCTGTGCTGTAATCCCAAAGGCACATGGTTCGAGGCCACCAGCTGTTCTATAGAAGGATGGAGAGTCTCCTCCCATGTGATTAACTGCCTCTGAAAACCTGCTGGAGGGCCAGCAATGAGTCGGCTCCAACTTGAGAGTATACAATACAACAACATACCAAATCAAAGTGTTTTGAATTTACTACTACAAAGGATGGAGTATCTTCTTTTACAGGTGGTCTCTATGTTGAAATTAACTCCACTGCAGTGAGTTTGTTATACTGGGTCACATATTTCAGGGCCACTGGGAACCACTGGACACCTTTTCCCCTCTGTTACTCTGCACTGTCCCTTATGTTTGACCTCTGCTCCTTCCTGCAGCACTAGAGCTGTTCCTGTTCATGTGGAAGATACTCTTCTAAACACAGGATCTAACTAGCATCTTCAAGTTGGATTAAGGTGCCTCTTTTTGTGACCCCTTATAGTGAAGACCAACTTTCTAGTTTCATTTTTTTCTGGTCCATCCTACTGTTTACCCAGACTTACCTTCTTCCCTACTCTTTACAAATAATCTCCCTGACAGTTTCAAAATAATTTAATTCCAAGTCCCACCACGGTTTCTCGTTTTTATTAACTAGACAAGACACAATCCAAACATTTCTAAATACAAAGCACCTTCCCAAAGTGTCCATCCCATTGAGAAACAAGGAGCTCATCAAACACTTCAGGAAACAGCAACTCGGGAAAACTGGCTAGAATTTACTCTGGAGAAAGTGAAGCTATATAAGGTCTCAAGGAAGTCAGAAAGGTGCAAAAGCCCATGGAATCATTGGCACCAATACCAATCCGACAAAGCTCAAGTGCATTGACAAGGAACTAGAAACAGCTCCACAGCAATGAGTCTGAAAATATAGGTCAGTAGCCAAATTAAATGAAACACCTGCATAAGCAAATGTTGTTGTTATGTGCCGTCGAGTCGTTTGCGACTCATGGCAACCCTATGCACAACAACCCTAAATCCTGCTCTATCCTGTGCCAACCGCACTGCCTCTGACACACCCATTCCGATTACCCCAGTCACTGAATGAATCCATCTCATAGAGGGTCTTCCCCTCCTGTGCCGTCCCTCCACCCTCCCAAGCATGATGTCCCTCTCCAAGGACCGGTCTCTCCTGGCAACATGTCCAAAGTATGTCAAGAGTGTTGACTGTGGAGCCGAGCAAACTAAAGCTGTGAACAATCTCAATCTCTTCGTCATCCATCCTGATGCTGCCAATTGGTCCAGTGGTGAGAATCTTTGTCTTCTTGACATTGAGCCTCAGTCCATACTGAAGGCTGCAGTCCTTGACCCTTCGCAGCAAGTGCATGAGGTCCTCCTCAGTTTCAGCAAGCAGGGTGGTGTCATCTGCATAACGCAGATTGTTAATAGATCTTCCACCAATCCTGATGCCACAATTCTCCTCATAGAGCCCAGCCTCTCGGATAATCTGCTCTGCATACATGTTGAAAAGGTATGGAGACAGGATGCATCCCTGGCGCACACACTTCCCAATTTTGAACCATGCAGTGTTACCCTGCTCTGTTCTGACTACTGCCTCTTGGTCCAAGTATAGGTTTCGCATTAGCACAATTAAATGTTCTGGGATTCCCATTCTTCTCAGAGTCAGCCACAGTTTGTTATGATCCACACAGTCAAATGCCTTTGCATAATCAATGAAACACAGATAGACATTCTTCTGGTATTCTCTGCTTTCAGCCAAGATCCATCTAACATCAGCAACAATATCCCTAGTACCACGACCCCTTCTAAACCCAGTCTGGACTTCCGGCAGTTCTCTGCTGATGTGCTGTTCTAACTGTTTTTGGATAATCTTCAGTAGAATCTTGCTTGCATGTGAAATCAATGACACTGTTAAATAGAATTTTCTTTATTTACAGAGATTGAAAATAAAGTGTCTATGGATGAGTCACCGCTCAGCTTATAGGGATGATGTTCTTTAGCCTTAGCAAACTTTTCCATAATTATTCTTCCTTTGTGTATAAGAAAGCTTTTCCAGGAACATTAAATTCATTCTTTAATAAAATTAAAAGCTTAAGCTTAGGCATCTTTGTTCAACTTTAGCTCGCTGCTGGTGTGTTGATTAATACTCACAGGGAACCAGCAGGTCTGGTCCCACGTTGCTGTTGCTAAGCTGACTTAGAACCAATCCATAGCTGACCCTCCAGTGGGTTCTGAGACGCACAGGAGACTGCGCGTCTTTCTCCTAGGGGACTGCTAGTGGATTTGAATGGCATACCTTTATAGCCACCCTACCACCAGAACTCCATAAATCTTAATTAATGACTAGCAAGCAAATAAAACAGACTAGTATATTCTCACTCAGTTAAATCTAGGATAAGGTCTGGACATTTATATTTTCAAAAGCCCCACTGGTGAGCCTAATGCTTACCAAGATCCAACAAAAGAGCCCCAGTCAACAGATGAGGATTTCACTTAATGCTTCTGGTTAAAGGTAACTACATTATTAACATGAATTTGATCTTTAGCAACTATGAATATTACTTATAAGTAATTTATCTCATCCGGAATTTCTTTTCCTTTATCTCCACTGTGGTCATTTCCCTCTCTGCATCACAGCCATTCTCACACAGCAGGAGACCTTGTGCTCCCACTTCTTAGGTAATCACTAGATGAGAGGAGTGCCCTAACACAGAAGAGTGCCCTAAGAGAACAGAGAGCTTCCCAGTCAAAAGGCACAACTCAGCCTGGCTCTGGTGTGTTCCGTGACTTACATTTTTCAAACAACAATGGCACAGACTTATAAACATTATTAAATTTTATTAACAAAACTTTGTACATTCTCTTTAATACATGTGGAATTTTACATTTAGGTAAAATAGCACATTCAAAATTTTGCCGTTTATACAAATTGTTACAGAATAACAACCAGTGGATTGTAAAATAAACCACACTGATTTTTTAAATTATCTACAAAAGATTTGACTCTTTAAAAATTCTTCCGAACATAGAAAAATAAATTAATTTTACTCTCAATTAAATCTACCAATTAGAAATATTACAAATCAAAATATCAATGTTATGTTTTTTTCACAATACAAAAAACAGAGTCACAAAACTCTATTTACAGAAATGAGGTAAGAACTGTGCAATTTTTAACCAAGAGACATATTGCAGAATTAACATGTTCTTCCAGCTAAGTACACAGTGGAGGTCTAATTACAGCTGGGTCTTTTCCACTAATAATTCACACATTTAAGAACAGTTCAATGATTGCATTCCCAATTGTATAATTTATATTCTCAGATGATCACACCAGGAGCTTTGCTACCTAAAGCAAAGGGCTGTAGCACAGGTTTTACCTGTTGGAGTAACTGTGATGGTTTGTTTTTGGTTTTTAATCATTTAGTACTAATAGAAAGTTATTTAAATGAAAAGTACACATGTGTGTGTATATATATATATAGAGAGAGAGAGACAAAGAGAGTGTCATCATAACCAAACTCACTCACTTTTCTTGTGACCATTAGTGGATAAACACCCATGTAACAGTTGTGCCTGAGCTATCGACAGCGGCAGAGTTTTTAAGAAAGGCATAACAATGGGGAAAGGCTGCTGGTGCAACACTGACTGTCCTACTTACAAGGACTATAGTGCACATTCAGCTGTCCAGAGCCATCTCAACACAATGGAAGTACTAACAGGCACTTGATGAAGGCCAATCCTACCAGCAGTTTTCAGAGTGGCCCCTTTATCTGACAGACATGTTTCACTCTGAATTGATCTGGATCCCCCAGCAGCCTTAGGACTCACTTAACTCAATGTTTCTTGGAGGGATAAGGGTACGTCTTAAAACAGAAACAAAAGGTATTTAGCAATCTAAAAGGACCCTTTTCAGAAGCAGACAATTAGTATCCTAACTTGATTACCAATACTGGCCAAATCCAATTTCCAGAATACGAGTCTCAAAAGTTGGCCTATTTATTTGAAATATTTAGTCAATAAATCTTAAAATGTTGGAGAGTTCCTTGGAATTTGTTTTAAGATCTAACTCACACAGTAAATATACTATAACCCAAATAAAAAAAGATCAACATATGTTATTTCCCAGTTTGTACACTAAAGTCATTGGAAAGGGATTAAGTCCAGTTTGCTATTCATACTTCCAATCTGTAACAAAAGTAATTGTACATCAACTATATCATTTCTCTCACATTGATAAACCCATTGCATGTAAAAAGCATTTCACTGACAAAATTTAGTTATTGAATTTTCTTCAAAGTTCAAAAAATAGGAGTAGGGGACAGAGTTTATTTCAGTGCAACAAAGCAACAAGAAAATCAGTCAAAGCTTACAAGAATGTCCTTGTGGCAATTAATCCTTTGTTGTGCAGTTTCTTGTTGCATTTCTTCACAGGTGGAGAACGAGGACTACAACAGCAGCCAGATGAAGTGCTAGAACAGCAGGATAAGCAATTTCTAGATGTTTCTTATGTGTCAACTTTTCTCTTGAGTTACAGGTCCAGTTTTATCACTAAGTCTCTGTAGTTAAGACAATAGCAACAACAACAAAAAAATTATCAGATGTATAAACTACACTCATTTTCTTGTTAACACTAGATATATTTCCTTAAACTGATACAGATACAATGACATGCATAGTAACTCCTTTTTGTTCTACAAAATGACATGGATAGTTTGCAACACTTTAAAATTATAGTATATTTACATATTTTTTAAACACTAAGTTTATTAGTATGCAGACTTAAGAGGTAGTGTACTCATCTTAAAGACAAAATTCATAGGGAATAAGTGAAAAAAATTTCTCTAAGATTGACTTTGCCAGAGAAATGGTAACACAGTACAAATGAAAAATGAATTTTTATTTGGTAAGTCATGACCCCTTATTTGATATTATTAGAAAGTTTGAACCTTAGTTCAGCCTTTTTTTGGGGAAATAAAAACAATGGACATAACATATACTTTAAGAACTGGAAGCGTTGCCATTGAAGTGAATGCCATTCTAATAAGGAATCTTGAGGTGTGCAGACAGTTAAGTGTTTCATCAAAAGGTGGAAACCCCTATGGAGTCACATCCACTCTCTACACACAGAACTGAAATGAACAGAGCTGACAGGACAGCTGCTGGTCATGTCTTGTAAAGATGTTTGGCACATAGCAGAACACTGAGCATTACTTCCAGAGCTGCCTTTCTTCCTAAATAGCACTGTTTGTTTTTATGCAATGTTACTATAGTTTGTTTGGGGTTTTTTAATTGAGATGTTAATGAAATGTTTCTGTAGCTTTTAAATTAAAAATATAATTTAATACTGCAGAACTCTGATAAAATTAGTTTATAATTTACTTTTCAACACAAGAAAAGTATAAAACAGAAAATGCAGTACAAAATAATTCCTAAATTATATAAAATTAATGAATATTTCCATGTCTGCAAAACAGTGGAAAATTAGGTTTGTGATAGGAGTGCATTCACAATAAGAGGAGTCCGAAATAAAGGGCACATAAAAAGTTTTAATCAAGAATCCTGTATTTTGAATAAATTCTTGTTGCCAAATAAAACAGTCTCTAAAGGCCAAAAAAAAGTAGACTGAATAGGAAGCTTTCTAAAAGTGACAGAAAACAGCAAACACTAACGTCTCCAACTTCACTGCTTCCCTGATGTCCAAGCCACTCTGTATCCCAATATCCTTCTAAGAGAGTTCTGCCCTGAACTGGACTTAATTGAGAGGAGACTGCAGAGAATGTAAGATCTTTAAAATGTTTATTACTGTACCATTTATAAGATACCATTTCTGTTCCCAATTTTTTGTTTTACACAGAAAGTATAAGATGGTATCACTTACATAAAATAAAGGATTTAAAATTTAACATCCGTTATAAGATTGTCTTTTCTTATGCTTGTCATTCCTCTGTAGCATCTGGTCCCCACTGGACCCTCATCATTTCCTTCACCTGCTCCCCCCACCAACCAAATTGTGCAGCTCTGCAGCTGCATCCTGGCCCATCCTCACCCTTCTGCCCCCAACCCTCACCTCCTTGTACCCCCAATATGTTTTTCCCCCCCCAAAAAAATATTAAAAAAAAAAGATTGTCTTTTCTTCTGAAAAGTAATCTGATAGAAGAAACGGACAGCTCTAAAATGTATAGAATTCTATTCTAAATGATTTAATTGTTTTATAAAGTACTTTGATGCAAAATGATAAAAAATTTACTGATTCTATAATTAAGCTAAATGAAATGTTTCAGAAACAATTGGCTATGCTTTCCATCAAACCTGTTTATATAACTTGCTTGCCAATGAAAACATTTTTTATTTTATAACCACCTTCAGACATTATCAGTTTAAATATAAACTGGTAAAATACATAAATTGTCTCAGGTCCTTCATATTTACAAAATCCAGCAGCTGAAACAACTTTTTTTTTTGGAAACAACTGTTTTTAAAAAATTGTTCCACCAGATGCTCTGCTGGAAAAGGAGGGACAATCTCCTCCTGTACCAGTCAGATCCAATTTGATGGTACACACACATAATAAT